CCAAGGGCTGGGGACCTCAGCTATATAAGACATCTTCTGCGCATTCAAAAATTGTACCATCTTTCCTTGTACTCTTTTCCTTTCCTCTAGTGTTTTCTCCATTTGTGGAAATAACTTAGAGTTATTTGTTCAAGCTTCTGAACTGAAAATTTCTAAATACTGAAGATTGAAATTAGAGGAAAAAAAATACCTGTTTATCATGTGACATGAAATCATCTGTTTCCATGGTTCTGGTGTTATACAATTTTCCTGATAAATGCACTGAATATCTACAGTAGCGATGCAATCCACAAGCCTGGCAGGAGCATTTTTCAGCATTCTTCAAATGGATACTTACATTAGAATAATTTTCTACCCGCTCCTGAAAACAATTTAAAAATATAATAAAGTTTAAAAGAGAAAAAAATAATAATAAAGTAAAAATCTAACCAAGGTCTGAGGAATCACAATAGGAAGAGATATTAAGAACAAAATACCCTGGCATTTCTTATTTTAATAATGAGCACACAGTAGGTATTTGACAAGATATTTTTAAATTTAAAAAAAATGAATTTATATTTTTGGCTATTAAATGAAAAGAAATCAGACTAGGATAAAAATTAGTTCCATATCTCTCACATTTAGGAGTTGCTACTAAATAGTGTTCTTGACAGATTTTAATTTACTTCTTTTCCATCTTTTCATCTCTAGTTAGTGTTATTGAAGTATTAGTTAAAAATAGGCAAGAATCAACAGCAGAAATTCAGAATAACACAAGAAAAAGAATTCATTTTAGGCTAGTTAAAAATTGAGAAAAAAATCACATTCATTCTCCGTTATAGGAATTATATCATATTTTTCACAAAACATTTCAGAAATAATTTAATCTGCCTGTCACTACTTGCTATAGTACTGTGAAAATAAACACATTGGAACTGGAATTGCTACATGTCCAGTCTTCATATGGACAGTCTAATAGCTCAGTTGTAAATGAGTGAACAAACTAAGAAAACAATTGGCATTTACAAATAAGCTTTATTAAGCTGTGAAATTACTTGTGCCTGAGTGTTTATGCTTATGGTCTAGACCCATGCTAGATACTACGCTGCTAATTAGTAGTATAGATTAGGTTTTACCACAATATTTGAACTGCACACAGTGAGAATATTAGCATGGTTACTAATTCACATTCATATCCTCTACCAGCCTGATGGTAATTAAGTATCTAATATACTGACAGTTTCCTTTTTTGATTATATGATTTGAAACAACTTTTTTTGTCTACTTTTTACATTTCTCATACTTCATGGAACTTCATGAAATGTGTCACTTACAGGCTGAAACTCACATTGAATGGACTAACCACTTTCCCTTCCTCTTTCTGTGGTACTTGTGGAAGCACATGGTGAGATGAAACCTCTAAGATGAAAGCTCTCAGCTTGGTTCTCTGAGTGACTACAATGCACAGAGCCTCCCTCACAACTCACACTGGATATATAAGTAAAAAACAAATGTTGAGTTATCGAGAGTTTTTTTGTTTTGTTTGTCATATAATTTATGTACCTTTTGTAGCATAACCCAACTTATCCTAAGATCTTGCTGAATCATCTATGTCTCTAAATTTTTCAGCTAATTTTTTTTTTGTATCTTACAGTTATTATTTAAACATTGGTTCATCCAAATTCAGTATAACCTACCATAGTAGGGTAAAGCATATATGGCATAGAGGCATGCACTTTAGAGTCCAAGCGACTCCAGGTTTAAATACTGGCCTAATTACTAGCTGTGGAACTTTTATGTTACTTAATTTTTCTGAGTTACAATTTCCTCATCTCTAAAATGAAGGAAATAATAGTGCCTTCCTCATGGGGTTACTTTGAAGATTAAATAAGATACTTTTCTTTGCATGTAAATTAGTTGGCTAACATTAAATAATCTATACATATAATACAGGCATACATCAGAAATATTGTGTTTGGTTCCAGACCACCATCAATAAAGCAAATATAGCAATAAAGTAAGTCACACAAATTTTTCCCCAGTATATATAAAAGTTATGTTTACACTATATGTGATCTGTTAAGTGTGCAATAGCGTTATGTCTAAAAAACAATGTATATACCTGAATTAAAAAATGCTTTATTGCTAGAAAATGCTAACAATTATCTGAGCCTTTAGCAAGTTGTCATCTTTTTGCTGATGGAGGGTCTTGCTTTGATGTTGATGTCTGCTGACTGATCAGGGTAGTGGTTGCTGAAGACTGGGGTAGCTGTGGCAATTTCGTAAAATAAGACAACACTGAAGTTTGCTGCATCAATTGACTTTTTTTTCATGAAGATTTCTCTGTAGCATGTGATGCTGTTTGATAGCATTTTATCAAAAGTAGAACTTCTTTCAAAATTGTAGTTGATTCTCTCAAATCCTGCCACTGCTGTATCAACTAAGTGTATGTGATATTCTACATTCTTTGTTCTCATTTCAACAATGTTCACAGCATCTTCACCAGGAGTAGATTCCATCTCATGAAATCTCTTTCTTTGCTCATCTATAGAAGCAACTCCTCATCTGTTAAAGTTTTATCACGAGATTGTAACAATTCAGTCACATCTTCAGGCTCCACTTCTACTTCTAGTTCTCTTGCTATTTTTACCACATCTGCAGCGAATTCCTCCACTGGAGTCTTGAACCCCTCAAAATCATCCATGAGGACTGGAATCAACTTTTTCCAAACTCCTGTTAATGTTGATGTTTTGACTTCCTCCCATAAATCACGAATGTTCTTAATGGCATCTAGAATGGTGCATCCCTTCTGAAGGTTTTCAGTTTACTTTGCCCAGATCCATCAGGGGAATCACTATCTATGTTAGTTACAGCCTTACAAAATTTATTTCCTAAATGATAGGACTTAAAAGTTTAAATAACTTCTTGATCTATGGGTTTCAGAATGGATGTTGTGTTAGTAGGCATGAATGTAACATTAGTCTCTTTGAATATCTCTATCAGAGGTCTTGGGTGACCAAGTACATTATCAATGAACAATAATATTTTAAAAGGAATCTCTATTTTAAACTAATAGGTCTCAATAGTGGTTCTTAAAATGTTAAAATGTTCTTAAAATGTTCAGTAAACCAAGCTGTAAACAGATGTGCTATCATCCAGGCTTTGTTGTTTCATTTATAGAACACAAGCAAAGTTGATTTAGCATAATTCTTAAGGGTGCTAGGATTTTTGGAATGGTAAATGAGTGTTGGCTTCAACTTAAAAGTTATCAGCTGCATTAGCCCCTAACAAGAGATTCATCCTGTCCTTTGAAGCTTTGAAGCCAGGCATTGACTTCTCCCTAGCTATACAAGTTGTAGATGTCACCTTCTTCCAATAGAAGGCTCTTTCATCTACGTTGAAAACATGTTGCTTAGTGTAGCCACCTTCGTCAATGATCCTAGCTAGATCTCCTGGATAACTTGCTGCAATTTCCACATAAGCACTTGCTGTTTCACCTAACACTTTTATGTTATGAAGATAACTTCTTTCCTTGAACCTCATGAACCAATCTCTGCTAGCTTCAAACTTTTCTTCTGCAGCTTTCTTACCTCTATTAGTATCCATAGAATTGAAAAGGACCTTGCTCTGGATTAGGCTTTGGCTTAAGCGAATGTGTGGCTGGTTTGATCTTCTATCCAGAGGACCACTAAAACTTTTTCTATATCAACAATAAGGCTGTTTCACTTTCTTATCATTTGTGTGTTCACTGGGTAGCACTTTCAATTTCCTTCAAGAACTTTCCTTTGCATTCACAACTTGGCTAACTGGCACAAGCGGCCTAGCTTTAGGCCTGTCCCAACTTTAGGCATGCCTTCCTCAAAAAGCTTAATCATTTCTAGGTTTTGATTTAAAGTGAGAGACATGTGACTTTCCTTTCACTTGAACACTCAGAGGCCATTTTAGGGTTATTAATTGGTCTAATTTCAATACCGTTGTGTCTTAGGAAATAGGGAAGCCCAAGGAGAGGGAGAGAGACGGGAACGGCCAGTTGGTAGAGCAGTTAGAACACTGCAACGTTTATCAGTTACATTCACCCTCTTATATGGGCATGGTTTGTAGCACCCCAAAGCAATTACAATATTAACATCAAAGATCACTGATCACAGATCACTGTAACAGATATAATAATAATGAAAAAGTTTTAGATACTGCAAGAATTACCAAAATGTGACACAGAGACACAAAGTGAGCATATGCTGCTGGAAAAATGGCTGTCCTGGCATATGTGCTTGAAGCAGGGTTGCTACAAACCTTAAATTTGTAAAAACTGTGATAACTACAAAGTGCAGTAAAATGAAGCACAATAAAACAAGGCATGCTTGTATATGCTATTTTTCTTTCTATTAAAAAAACAATGTTTATGTCATGTTCTAAGAGCTATGTACTTTATCTTCAAAGTAAGTAAATACAGTATTTCCCTTCATAGTAGCTAATTCTTTTCCATATCTGAGGAAGAAACTGGGGTTCCAAGAGGTTAAAAACTTACCCAATATCAAAAAGATATATGGTATTCCTAATCTTAAGCCATCCTCCACCTTTAAGTCTTCTAATTCTTTTTGTAACCCCACAAATATCTCTTAAACCTAACCATCTATGGCTAATTTATCATCAGGTAATTCAAGGCTGAACAGGCCTTGGATGAAAACAAATCCCCTGACATAAATGAGGTAGCGGTGCTAATGATGTAAGTGCTAGAATGATTTTAATGAACTTAAACTTCTATTATCTTTCCATTTTT